AGAACTAAAATGTTTTTTGTACGTAGAAACTTTTCGTACATTTATAAGAGTTGATTGTCCGGCACTATTTGTTCTTAAGACGAAACATAATTTAATTCTTTGTTCTTATAATTATAAATAAAAATAGCAAGACACTTAAATGCTGGGAATTATATTGGTTGAGATTGTCGAATATATTAGGAAAAAATCCAAGGACAGTTAAATTCACTATCAAAAAGTCATATCTCTCTCTTGTAGGTATACGACCAAAGAAGAAACATTAGCCTTTTCTCATCTTGAAAATTGATTCCTTATTTTCTCGTAGGTCAATATCCAGATGGGATTAAATAAAAGAAAATACTCTGATGAGCTATCAGAAAATGGACTACACTGTTAAAAATTTGTGTTCTTCAAAAAACAAAAAAAAGGATCTTCATTTGTCCCTTATAGAGATCATATATGTGTTCTCCGAAGATTTACAGAACTAGAATTTTCAGTTTTCTGAAGAATAAAATCTTTGTTCTTTAAGTTTTTTGATCTCTATAGGTGACAAATTATCAAGGGGGAAAAAGCAGTTTTTATGGATAGCACTTTCTAGCACCTTTCAGCACTTAAAAAATCAAGGTGGCGGATAAGGCTGTGTATTCAAATCCTACGATTTTCTTTGTTTTTTTCATCCTTTTCCTTTAACAAAGTGGAAAAAGTTCTTGAACTTCAATAAAAAAATACACATTCTTTATTCTTGTTATCCAGATTCAATGACATGTTTCAGTCTATCACTGGATGAATGTGTTTTATTGTCTGTTGGCAGTCAATACGCTGATTGCTTGTGTAAGTATTTCCATTTGTCGCCAATCTTGACATGAAAATAAGAACTTGATCGCTTTAAATTGATTTTGCCGAACACCCGGATACCAGAAAATGTCGCTCTTTGTGTTTGAGATAAATCTCTCGATAAAACATATTCATCATCGTCTTCATTTGACAAATTATCTTCACTATAATGATCTTGATCATCTGTTTCGTCGTCCCACAATTATCCACTAAATCTTCTTCGTCTTCATCTTCTGAACTGGAGTTTTCTATTTCAGAGCCACTCGCTCCGATATCGTCTATTGTTTTTGAATATCTTTGATCATTGGATTTTTTGACTTTTAGAGAATATACTGAGAACATCTACCCTTGTTGCCTCGACGTCCTTGACTGCAACAGAAAAGGTAGATCAAGCATTTTCTGAAGAATAAAACTGAAATCGATTCTCTATTTTCAAAGACATTTCTTTTAAATTCACAAAAAAAGATGAATACAGATTCTGTATGAAAAAAGTAATGGAAATCCAACGAGAACAAAACAAAAAGGTGAAGTCCGCATAAGAACGGAAATCGCCCCACTAACAATAACCGCTCCAATCGATCCAAACCTCATCAGAATCACATACAATTATGATATTCGATGATTTCGACCCCCTTTTTCTATGAAACTAAAGAGGATGTCTAATCATTCATATATCATTCGACGGGCCATGAAAAGCTCTACAATATGTGTTAATAAGAAGCTTAACGAAGTGGGGCAGCATGTTTTATAAATTTAATACTTTGCCGCTTGAACCGAAGAGAACGTGTGCACGTGTTCTGCGTTAATAATTTTTGCGAAAGATATGTGAGACACGTGTTTTATACGTTGCTAAAGTTTCGTTTATTCGTTTTTTTAACTTTTTAACAGCTGATTTCACATTTCAGCTGATATCGCTATGCAGCTGATTTTGATTTCACGTTTGTTTGTGTAGGTGCAATATATGCACGAAAATAAAAACATGCTTGAAGTAAAAATAGGAAAGTTAAAAGTAGTTTTTTCTCTGTGTTGTAGTCTAAATAAAAGAGAAATTGTGCCTTTTTGGGTGGTGAGTTTTTGAATTATAAACGATGCATATTAAATGTGTTGAATGTTATCGAAAGTTAGACGATAATTATCGAAATAGAATTTCTTGTAATCTCTTGCAATTATTTATTTCTTCTCGTACGTTGAAACGAATATGTGTGGGTGATTCTATCTGCAAAGGTTGTCGGTCAAAATACGATAAATGGGTTAAAAAGACCAAGAATGATTTTAAGAGCTTTACTCAAGAGGCTCAAGCTAATGTCGATATTGCTAATGATCAAAATGATTCCGAAGTATGTACCTCATCATATTTTCTAACGTATATGAGACCGTTTCGCGTTTCGTAAATTGTTTAGACTATGGAGATTCATCATACTAATAGTTCAATGGAGTTGTCCAATAGTAGTGATGGTCAGATAACTGTCTCAAGTTCTGTGCAAATTCCTGTTCAGAGAGTAATCAAATCGCACAGGTATTGCATCGTCGTTTCTCTCCTTTATGTTATAATGTTGCTGAGAAATTCGCTTTACGTCTTAGGTCGTGTGTGGTTTGCAAGAATATTGATAAAAAGTCATACATGCTGTCTAGACAAATGAGACCTGCTATCTTTATCAAAGGAGGTGTTTACATTCCTAAGGGTTCTCGGTGTTGTGCTCATCATTTGTTCAAAAGGAGTTTAACATTTGAAGCATATCAACAAATATCTGGGCCTATATCCGACGTCATAACATACACATCAAGTGATGTTTTACAATTGCTTCATGATTTTCGCAAAGTTTCAGCCGTGATGCAAAAGAACGCACTTGATTTTGACGATCCCTCTTCTTTGAGTGATACTGCTTATTACAATCTAACAGGTTTAAAGAAAAGTCAGTATGATTAGAGATGGATAGCATGATTCTAGTACGCAAATACTTCTCTTTATTCAAGGTGATTTTGATGATTTACTATCCAGAATTCCAGGTCTTCGAAACTCTAAGATTCGCTCCGTTCGTACTGCTCTGGCTGTATTTTTATGCAAGATGAGATTAGGGATCAGCCACACCGTGCTGTCTTCTATTTTTCACTTGAAAAACAAACAAAAAGTGTCACATATCCTTCGTCAAGTTCGCGAAGCACTCATGAAAGAATTCGTTCCGGATAACATCGGTTTTAATCATATCAGCAGAAAACAGATAATCGATCAGCACACTACTGAAGTAGCCAAAACACTTCTGTTCAATGGGCAGTCGAGAGTTTGTGTTATTAT